TACAAACTGCAGGCAGCAGGATAATAAAAGCGAACATATTCTGCCGACAGGTTTCAGCATTCTAATTTAGCTGTTGATAAAACCTCTGGATGCAAAAAGGAAAAAGTTAAATGTCTGAAACTAAATCATCTCAATCAGTTCACGATTTTTCATCGCTTCTTCTCCTGCTGAAGACAATGGTTTCTAATGCAGGGCAACCGAGGCCCCAATCAGAGGACTGACCGCTCATGTTGAAGGCCATCCACTCAGGTAATCTGATTACTTTGAGGCACAGAGAAGCAGATTCTGGCAGGACCAATGGGTCAGAGTCATTCCTCCACAGAACTTAAGGTTTAGACCTTTTTTAAACCAACAGAACCAATAATATTTTCTGATGCAGAACCTGAAGAGGGTGGAAGTGGAGCAGCAGACCGTTCGCCCTCTGCAGCTCAGCTGGCAGTCAGTCAGCTCACTTCCATGGAAAGTCAGCTTCATACGTTTCTGGTTTAGTGGGAGATGTTTTCCCTAAGATCTGATAACCAACATGGAACCAGTTTAAGGAGACAGACATGCGCTGACCGTCCTCCTCCAGATGGAAGGAGGCCAAAGTGACCTCAGGGTGGAGGTGAAGCTCCACCCTCCTGTCCCATCCAGAGCTCTAATGGATGCTTTGGTTAAAGACTGGAGCTGGAGAGCCCAGCTTTACATCAAAGCTGATTAGTGTGTTCAGTGGCCTAGTCAAATTCCTACTCAGTCCAGGGTTAGAGCTCTTTTTGGTGCCGTTGTTCTGTCAGATGACTAAAGGGATAAACGCCTGTTGAGGCAGTTTAAAGTCTATTTTTCATTAAAAACTAAAGCGATAAACATCAATTTTGTGGCTTGTGCGTGCGTATTGACTATGGGTATGCTGGTCTGCTGGGATATGCTGGTCTGACAGAACACCGGTACTGTTCATCTATCATGTGTTCTGAAGGAGCATTGGTACCGCTCATGTAGTTCTCCTGTGTTTCCAGCAGGTGGAGATGACTGCTTCTTTAACTCTCCTCAAACATCTGAGGTGGCCTCGAAAGAGGAGGAGGAGGACGCCCCCTCCAGGCATCCACTATACAGCAGGCTGAGCTGACCCGGTGCTGATCCAAAGACCTGTGAACTGCTCTGGTTCCAGAATGGACCCGTTTCCCTGCAGAGTGGCTGTAAACCTGATGCTGTGTGAATCTAAGCTCTGATTTTATCCTGTTTAATAAAGACCTTTAAACCCAGCTGGGAGGGATCCTTTATTCACAGACCTGGAAGGTTCTGGTCCAGACCAGTACCACCCCAGACCTTCAGAGGGTAGCACCCACAGAAAGAACATCAGGCCAGCTGTGCTCTCACAGTAGCTCCAAACGGACCCCCAACCCATAATGAAGACATCTGAGGGGAACTGGCCTCAGAAACCGTTTACACACCTGATTTAAACATCTGGTTCCAGGAGCCAGATGTTTAAACCAAACCCATGAGGGGCGGGACACCCAGCCGCATACAGACCTCCTCCTGTAAGCCGCTGTGAGGGGTCAACGTTGGATGCTGGCTACGGCCCGGTCTGTTTCTACACCTGCAGCTCTGGTTACATTCTGAGCTTAATGTGGAGAATTGGCTCTAATGGTGGAACGCTTTGCATCGCTTTGCATCCCGTGCCAGGGGTAACGATGCATTCTCCATTCAGGGGAGTGGCCTAGTGGTTAGGGTGTAGTGCTTGGAATCCTGTCCCACTCCCACACACTGACAATCTGGGTCCCTGAGTAAGACCCTTAACCCCACACTGCTCCGCAGGCAGATTAGCAGACCCAAGGGCATACCTGCAGAGGTACATTTCTCCAATGTGAGATCAATAAAGTTCATTTTTAGCTTCTCCAATGTCCCAAATTCTTTTAGGCAGAAAAAGCACAGACACTGACCAAGGGTTCATTGTTTTATTACAACAAAAAGACATTTCTGATGTGGTTTTTATAGACAGATTCCCTGATGGACCCCTTTGATATCGGCCCCATTAAAACCAACTCCATTCAGCGCCTTTGGACCACTGATTTAATGAGCTACTAACATAGGCTGGTTGCTACCTGGACTGAGAAATGGCAAGTTAGCAACCAGAGCCTATTAGCATCCAGGCCCTGTTAGCAACCTGAGCCTATTAGCATCCAGGCTCAGTTAGCAACCAGAGCCTNAGCCTATTAGCATCCAGGCTCAGTTAGCAACCAGAGCCTGTTAGCATCCAGGCCCTGTTAGAAACCTGAGCCTATTAGCATCCAGGCTCAGTTAGTAACCAGAGCCTATTAGCATCCAGGCCCTGTTAGCAACCTGAGCCTATTAGCATCCAGGCTCAGTTAGTAACCAGAGCCTATTAGCATCCAGGCCCTGTTAGCAATGAGCCTATTAGCATCCAGGCCCCTTTAGCAACCTCAGCCTATTAGCATCCAGGCCCTGTTAGCAACCTGAGCCTATTAGCATCCAAGCTCATTTAGCAACTAGAGCCTATTAGCATCCAGACCCTGTTAGCAACCTGAGCCTATTAGCATCCAGGCCCTGTTAGTAACCTAAGCCTATTAGCATCAAGGCCCTGTTAGCAACCTCAGCCTATTAGCATCCAGGCTCATTTAGCAACCAGAGCCCATTAGCATCCAGGCCCTGTTAGCAACCTGAGCCTATTAGTATCTACGGCCTATTAGCATCCAGGCCCTGTTACCAACCTGAGCCTATTAGCATCCAGGCCCTGTTAGCAACCTGAGCCTATTAGCATCCAGGCCCTGTTAGCAACCTGAGCCTATTAGCATCCAGGCCATGTTTGCAACCAGAACCAGTTAGCAACCATTCCTTGTTAGCAACCGTAGCCAGTGTTCCTGAGTAGAAATTATTTACCAAAGAAGTAAACTTAACATCTTTAAAGTCTTCCATCATANAACCTGAGCCTATTAGCATCCAGGCCCTGTTAGCAACCTGAGCCTATTAGCATCCAGGCCATGTTTGCAACCAGAACCAGTTAGCAACCATTCCTTGTTAGCAACCGTAGCCAGTGTTCCTGAGTAGAAATTATTTACCAAAGAAGTAAACTTAACATCTTTAAAGTCTTCCATCATACTTCTACTGTTTTCAATATTGGGTTTGTGACCCCTAGATGCTTCAGGGGTTCATGGGATGAGCAGCCATTTTTAAAAAAAAGTGCTGTTAGAAACATTGAACAGAATTTGTAGAACCTGCAAAGAACAATTTTCTTTCATCATTTGATCAGTTTAAATTAAAAATCGATCCGGTTCTGGGCGGGCAGAGGGATGGATCCGGTTCCTGGCGGGCAGAGGGATGGATCCAGTTCTGGGCGGGCAGAAGGATTGATCCAGTTCTGGGCGGGCAGAGGGATGGATCCGGGTCTGGGCGGGCAGAGGGATGGATCCGGGTCTGGGTGGGCAGAGGGATGGATCCGGGTCTGGGTCCGGAAGGCACAAATCAATGGTGATGGACGGTTCTGGACGGGTCCATCTCATCACTTCTGGTCTCCATTAATGAAAGAAAACAGCTTTTATTTGAAATGGATGGTAAAATATTTGGGTTTATGCTTCAGAACAGTTCTGGGCTCGTTGTCCAGGAGCTGGAAGGTCCATCAGGGTTCTGCTGCGGCATGAGGACTAGGAGCTGTAATGGTTCTGATCCCAGAACCAGTAAACCCAGCAATGTCCGTCCCCTGTTGCTTAGCAACTGCCACAGCTCCAACTGCTGCCCCCGTCCGCCCCATCGTTTCTCCCGGCGTTCAGGGTCACGGTGCCCCCTGACCCCTCGGGCGGCTGACTCAGGACCAGCGGCTTCTGGGACTTCAGCTTATGCGCCACGGTCATGAAGATGGCCTCCACGTGGTCGCTGCTGAGGGACTTCCTGTCCCCTGGGCTGTTTGGACTCTTAGCGGACGTCTCAAACAGCGGCATGGAGTGAGCGTCTGCGAACTGCTGCGCTAAGTCCGTTCCCACCTGAACCGAGTCCAGCAGGTCGCACTTGTTTCCCACCAGGATCCTGGGAACCTCGGAGCCCAGAGCGTGCTGCTTGCACTCTTCGATCCAGGCGGGGAGGCTGCGGAAGCTGGCGGCGTTGGTGACGTCGTAGACGAACACGACGGCGTGAACGTTGCGGTAGTAGTGCTGAACCATGGACTTCCTGAAGCGCTCCTGGCCGGCGGTGTCCCACAGCTGGATCTGTGAGGGAAGAGTGGGAGTGGGTCAGACAGAGACAGAACCCGTCCCCCTGCAGTAGAACCGGACCTCCTGCAGTAGA